GAACGATTGGCTGTCTTGCGCATTTTTTTAATAATTTTTATTACTGTATTTTTTCTTTTACTGTGATGTTTCTGGGTATCAGTGATTAGTTTTGATCCTGATGATTTCTTACACTTCATTATAATATTATATGTAATAAATTTTTTACGATTAATTCCCAACTATAACGCTGTAGATATATGTAATTTTAAATAATCAAGATTACCACATTAGATGCTTCGCGCAGCTAATTCACCTTCTCGAATAGTAGATCTCCCATAATTTTGGTCACACTACTTATTGATTTTTGCTTTTCATGTTCATGCCAAGTCATGATACATATGTACTCCCTCGTTCTCTATTTGCGGAGCTTTGTTTCATAACTTTTGCATTCTTACTTGGTGTCATTTTATACTTGTAAAGCTTATTTTTTATTCTACATGTATGAATGTCTGTCGTGGGTTGCTGCTTTGCCAACTTGTGAGTGGGTCGGTACTTTGTTAATCCCTCGAGCATTTAGTCCCGTGCTCCTCAAAATACTGAAAGAAAAGAAATGAAGTCTCTGACCAAAACAACTATAGCTAATTTAGGTGAATTGAACTAGCAAATTTTGCACAATATGCCGGACGTAGAACACAGTGGCCTAATGTGCACTGGAGAGTTTTCATGTGATGGCTTATAACAACGCGGGCGCATGTTAAATCCATTTCTCATTGTCACAGAAAGCCAAAACATTATTTCACCGTGAACCCTCTCCGGAAAGATATGATCACAGACCTGAAAAAAATTACAATAATTCTGGCAGCTTGCATCTGCTAGCAAACCATAATCGCAATTCGCAGTATAAAATATTTGCAGCGTAAATAATTTCTCCTCCTTTAACCTACACAGGGCCCGCTAGAATTGCAACTGTTTATGGAAACGTGAGCCTTGCTTTTCCAGGTACTCCAAACTTAATGCTTCGCAACCTGTACTATCAGCAGAAGCAAATTTTATTTTGAAAACATAACTTAAATAGCGCTACCGCGTTGCAGGAACGACTTGCTGACAACTTCAACTCGCACAATTTAAGCAGCAGCTCCATGTCTACATGTATAACAAGTGCATCAAATACTAATCGCCGAAGTAACGTGCTATACTAGCAACGGTGTTACTTATAACGCGTAACCACCTACATTGCGAAAACAAGGCGGGCGTTCTTGCACTGATCACAATTATTATGAAATACCAGATTTCTCACAGCGTAGCTTGCCACATAATATACAGGGCGACGATCCGCCGCTCAGCGGTGTACGATTCATCAGCGACAGACACTGCTAGTGCATCAGATGGAAGTCTTTTGTAGTCTTTCTCGTTTTATTCCATCTCCTGCACCATTTTTTTTTTTACAGACAGAGCGACTCCTCCACTAAGTGATCTACATTGCCAACCTTGAGACTCTTCAAGAGGCTGAACTGAAGCATTAAGTTTTACGGACAAGCATAATGCAGCGACGCTGGATCTACTTTTCTTTTTTTGTCATTGACACCTTCAGGCATTTCAGGGTAACCCAGCGCAATCACTAATTGACGAAGTACATGTAAAGCAGCTACCGCCTCTGAAAAAAAAAAGCAGCGCACCCGAGAAAAACTGCTAAGTGCGCCGCTCACTACCCGCCCTGCTGCCATCATCGCCCCTAGCAGCATCGGCGCGCCGAAGGGCCTTCTCCAGCAACCAAAAAGCCCCGTGCTCAACACACCTCCCCATTCTAGCCACCCTAGCACAGTACTGCATAAGTTGTTGCCGTACTTTGGGGTCAGTGTGGCCACACTGCCGCCAGATTTGGCAGAGAAATTTGCCCCTGTAGTTGTGGCTTCTAGGTGAGGGTTTGGTCCCAACGTGAAAGAATCTTTCCCTCGGTTAATGGAGGTCATCGCTCACCGATACCCTGTTAAAAGATTCCTGTCATATCGTGATGAGTGTGTAGTGAGAAACGTTTTGCGATTTTACTCTTATTTACCCTATTTTTTCGTACTGTGCTCTTGAACTGAGAGACAATAAATATTCATTATTTGAAATTTGGTCGCTTGTGCTTATTGAGGGTGGGGGCCTGCAAGCGACGGCGGCTCGTCGGCGGGGTCCTATTTACAGTCAAACTCAGGTATATCGAACTTGCCAAAAAACATTTATTAGTTCGATATATGGCATAATTGGATATAGGCCCGGTATAAGTTCTGACACAAAGGCACATAACAAACTACAAGAAAAGTACTTTATTAATATGGTGGCTTACTTGCGTGCCCTACTGTGGAACAAAATAGTCCCGGATTTTTTTTCTGTGTCAACGACTTCGCTGCCTGCGATAGCACGCACGCCTCCACGTTGTCCAACGAGTCGGAGCAGCTGAAGCCACAACCTTCCACATTCAAGCAATAGCGCCGGACCAACGCAAGTGCACTAATCATTTCGGAGCATGTAGGCAATGGGCCGTTGTCGATTTCCATATTGCTGTCGCTTTGGCTCGTGGTCGGCACAACGTCTGCAATGTAATCCTCATCCTGTAATTGGCCCATGATAGGGACATCATCTTCCGCACTGATGAACTCGTCGAATATCGATCCGTGGATAGCACCCGGCAACTCTGCCAGCTCGTTCCAAACTTCGGCGGAAACACCTGCAGTGTCTTCAGTGCTGTCAGAATTTGGGGTGTCATCACCAGGCATGCGGAAGCCGGCATGCCTAAAGCAGTTCTGGATCGTCTCCTTCTTGACATCTGCCCACGATCTACTCAACATAGAAATAGCTCCGAGCAAGTCGATCTTAAGCTCCCTGTCCGCACGAAGATTCTGCAGCAGCCTCTCCACCAGGCGCTTCCGATAGCCGGCTTTCATTGCGCGTATAACGTCTTGATCCAGTGGTTGCAGTACAGACGTAGTGTTCGGGGGCAAAAAACGCAGCTCGATGTTGTTGAAGGTCGTACTGCAGTGGTGCGATGAACAATTGTCCACGAGCAGGCACACCTTGCGATTTTCGCCTACCAAATCATCATTCCACGATGATAGCCATCTGCTGAAAAGCTCCCCGATCATCCACGCTTTTGAGTTTACTCGGTAGGTAACTGGAAGCGACAGCATTTCGAAAACACCGTGGTGCTGTGCTTTTCTCGATAACCAGAGGCCGAAGCTTTTTCGATCCGTCTAAATTAGCTGACAACAGCACGGACACACGAGCTTTGTTCACCTTGCCGCCGCTTGTCTTGTCGCCACGACACGCAAGTGTCTTGTTTGGCAACATTTGCCAAAATAGAGCGGTTTCATCCGCATTGAAGATATCTTGGGCTCTATATTTTGCTGTGATATCTCGCCAGTTTTCCTTGAGCCATTTTTCTACGCTGTGCAGGTCCGCCACTCTGCTTTCACCTGTAATAGCTTTGCCAATAACGTCGTGCCATTCTTTGAACCGCTGAAGCCAGCCTGAACCACTTTGGAAATCATTCCTGCCAAGCAGAAAAGCAAGGTCCTTGGCTTTCCGCTCGATCATAGGGCCGGACACCGGGATGTTTCGCGACCGAACGTCCACAATTAAACCACTTGTAAACGGCCGCTTCAACATCTTCGTACACAGCAGCGCGCGCATGTCGGGCGCCACGGGCACCAGGCCTTTTGTCCGACTTGGCCCTGATGTCTGCCTTGCTCTTCAGGATAGTATACTCAAGGTGCTCTTTGGAATTTTGTACGCGGAGGCGACGTCGCACTTCTTTTCACCGCGCTCAACGCGATTTGTGATTTCGAGTTTCGCGGCGAACGGCAAATTTCGCCTCTTTGCGCAAGCCATGATGACAGCGCGCCAATACAGTTCACAGAGCACCAACAGGCAACACCACAGACCACGCTGAATCGGCAGCAGCAGGCACACAAGCATAAGGAAAGAAAAAATGGCGCTCACTTCTACCGCCTTCGCGCCTCGGAGAAAGCACGACGGCCTCTCATTGGCTGTAAGCGCTGCGAGCGGGCCAGGATCATTTCTTAGAGGGGGGTGTTCGCCCGCGCACAACCGGGTCTAACGAACTTTTTCTAGGGTGGCGCCATCAGTTTTCCCTGCCACCGCGAGGGAAAGCCAACTTGCTGGGGCACTTTTGAGGCACATGGAGTTTGATATATCAGTTGTCGTTGCTAATTTTGTTCGATAAAACAGTAACTTCTGCTATATATTCTCAAGTTAAGCTTAACGTGTTTAGGAATTTTTTATTATACGGGATAATTTGATATAAACGGGTTCGATATAGTCGGGCTTGACTGTACAGGTACGTGCGAGTCGCGCTTAACCTGCTCCAACTGCGCCGATAAAGCAGCCTTCCAGCTAGGCTTATATAGCTGTAGCATATCTGACGTACCACGATTAGCCAGCCTTGGGATGTTTATTCGTCATATGTATACGAGTCCGAACGATATGTGTTGTCCTCACACAGCTAGGGGAAGCGTAGCGTCTTTGTTGTGGCGCGCGGTCGACGCGGCACGATCAGCTGTGAAAAAAAAAATAATAATAAAAGGGGGGGCAGCACACCACCTTCTGCGACTCTATTTAGTTTTTTCCGTCGTCCCTGATACTGAGACGCGATCTCTTAATTGCACAGATGCACCCACAGCAAGAGAACGCACCCCGACTTCTGCAAAGTGCAGTTCATTTCAAAGTGCAGTTCATTTCAAAGTGCAGTTCAGTGCAAAACGGCAAGCGCCGCTCATGCACTCGCGAACAAGTTCATTGCACACGCACTCGCGAAATGCACGGCGGACGACGCGTCATTGCTTCCCTAACTCAGAGACATGATCTCTTAATTGCACAGCAGCACACACAGCAAAAAAACGCGTCCTAACGTCTGCAAGGCACAGTTAATTTAGTTAATTAAAATGGCCAGTGTCGCTCATGCACTCGTGAAATACACTGCGGAAGACACCAAACTTTTACGAAGAAGCCACAACCACAGGGGCAAATTTCTCTGCCAAGTTTGGCGGCAGTCTGGCAACTGATTCATAGAACGCCAAACAAAACTTTGCCGACAACTTCAAACAAAAAAACTCCGACAAAAAAAAAACAAAAAAACTCAGACACTGCTGCTTTAAGGATTGCCACAACAAAGAAGGGGATGTCGGCGATAATGTATCGCCTCCCATCGAGACCGAGGGAAGCAACTCGGCAGCAGAAGTGTATCGCCGCTGTTTGGCGCTTCAAGTAAGTGTCGCACTTGCGAATTGTTAAATGACATCAGAGCTTAAACAATAACGGGAAGCATTGGTGCAACGCACGACAACGTTACAACTGCTCACAAGCGTGTGTTAAAACACACACAGTGGTTGTCGATCGTGAAACATAACATCGTAAGAGCTGAACGCATGGCGCATTTTTCCACGCATTAATTTGTCAATGTGCCTTGCCGTTCCTTTGTGCACCAGGACAATGGCTAGACTGCTGGAACGGGCTCATTATAGCTGAAGCTTTCACGTGCTTAGTACGACAAAAATAAGACTGGAGTGCACCGCGTAGCACGTGGAGTATTGGCAAATTACCGCTTCTCTCGCACACATGTCTTATTTTCCTGTTATTGTCAGTTGATTGCTTCATCACTCGTCGTGTATTCGGATATTTGCATATCGCTCGCGCACACTTTCACACGTTTTGTTTTCGCGTTATTGAGTGTCAGCTGATTGCTCGCAATTCAATGTTTTAGCACCGATGACCTCTCATCTTGGAAACCTAGTGAGAATACCAGGATATTCTCGAGGCATTTCATCAACAGCGAAAAAGCACCATTGAGCATCATCCTGGTTACCTTCCGACAATATTTCCTCCTGTATATAAGAGGTGGTCGCAGCTCCTGCTCAACAGCTTTCGAGGTTTTTGAGTAATAAACCTACAAGTGATAGCTGATCAAGAAACGTATACGGTCGTATTTGTGTGCCTAAGTGGAATTCAACGTCGTAAGCATGGTTGCTTTCCTGTGAAAAGCACTTCGCTGCGATGTCTGTGTTCACTTTTTTAACACCATGTACATGGTTGTTGTCGTACAGTGCGCATCCCTTTTTAAGGGTCTGTGGTCGAAAATGGGCATCGATGTTTTCAATCGCCTTAAAACCGCAATACAAAATTGCCGACATGCCTTAAACAGCACGACAAACTCACGCCATGCATGGCAGGAATGGCTCGTTGGCTCCCTCAACGCTTCGTGGAATCGACGCCGTGGCGCTGACGGCTGGGCCGATCGCTGCCCTGCCTAACCATTGTCAGTCGCGTGCTACTTAGGTTCCGCGATTCGATACGAAATCAACAAAACTGTTTACGGTGTAACACTCAAATGGTGGTACAAGATTTGATTGAGAAGTCTTGAAATCGGATGCGCACCCATGAAATCGAAAGATTGGCGTCTTTCAGCTTGAGAAACTTTGGACGTGATTCGACATAGTTTCTATGTAATGCGCATAATCGAGACAGTCTGAGATATAATCTACACATTTTCGCGATTTTTTTAAACCCCTTTCTCCTTTCACATTCATTTCCTTGGCAAGACGGTTCTTCGGTCGCTGATATATATATTTTTTAACATTCGGAAACTTGAATGGTTGTAAGCACTATGCATCGCTTGCTTCAATTTTTAGACACACAATGCTGCATGCTCAGCACATTTTGCACAAGTGCGGCCATTAAATAAGGTTGCTTTGGTTATAGTGCAGTACAACCTATAGTGATATTTGCGATGGGTGGGCTTGGTGGCTGCTCCGGTTTGTTACGAACTAACCCGCCACTGCTTGCAATGCAAGTGCTATCAGCCATCGTCGCACATCTGTTTCTTGTTGCCGGTGTGTCCACTTCTGCAAACACATCGCCGGAATGCGGATTGTGGCGCTTCGACATTGCTCTGGCCGGCGACCAAACGAACAGAAAATGGGACTTGATCTCGTCTCTACCTGCCAGCGTGTTGCCACAATCACGAAGCCCCGTCTTTACCCAAGCAACAATTTGCCCTCGGCAAGAAGTCTGTGACTGACCGCGAAGTGGACTTTTTGCAGTCCTTGTTGCAGTGCTCCCTAATGGGAACAAAAGCAATAATTGTCGCTGTTGCAATAAAAGCAAACGAAAAAAAAAACCATGAAAGGCGTATATTAACCCGTAAACGATCAACAACGACTGATACAGCAGCCGTTCACCTGAACCACTCTCATCAGTCAGCTAGAAGAGACTACCCGATTGACACATCAGTTGCGCAGATTAAAGTGAATTTTTCTAAGGGACAAAACTAGAAATGCGTCAGGAAGCATTGTCACTAACGAGTACGCATGAAATCTTCGGCGGTGGGACGCGGCTGCTTCTAGGAACATGGCAAAGGAAATGCTGCTCAATGCATGTACGACTTTGCATGGTAGCACTTCAGCAACTCGTCGGCCCTCCGAGTGTTGTCTCCTTCCTAAAACAAAACCTAAAGAAAAAGTAGTGAAAGAAACCAAAAGGCCCAACGCAGGCTTCGCCCCCATTGGCGCACAACCGCATTCCTTTCCTCCCTTCAGGTTTTCTTTCTCTGATGTGATGTGTGGTGTATGTGTTCTCTCCCCAAACAGAACCACAGGACCCCAACTCTTTATTTTGTTATTTCTTTCGAAGGAACACCCGTGTTGCTCTGTGAGGTGAGAAAAAACAAATACCTTCAAAAATAGGGGTGGTTCCGTCCTCCCACCGGGAGCTTATGGGGCTACAAAAGTACAAGCGGTCGGGCCAGTAGAACTATGCAGTAGTAAATGTTTTTTTTACATGTGTTTTTTCCTTTCTGTGTTTCTTTACTAGCACGCGATTTCCGAGTTGAGCTTGGCTCGCAGGTGTTGCGTTGTGCTCCCAACCTAGCTGGAGAAATTTGTTTGTTTGTTTGCTTCCTTGAATGAATGGCACGTACCCTCTTCACGGAATTGGTTAGGCGCCTTCTTCTTCCAACCAATACTGCGACCACCTTGCCTTGTCTGCACTTTTCCTGCGCTTTTAGCTTATAAATGGCATAAATGCATTGTTTGAGTCAAATTTGCTTACGTTAGCGATCTAATATTTACGTAATCAAATATTTGAGGCAGAAATGCACCGTTTCTTCAGTCACTTTTCTTATAAATAAGAAAGACAAAAGCGTAGCTGAAAATCCACACATAGATGCACACACACACACACAAACATATATATATATATATATATATATATATATATATATATATATCTTGCTACGATATCAGCTGCGCTGTGGTATATGTGCGGTGATGTGAAAGAGGAAGACGACGGTGTCTGCTGCAGTCAGAGGACTCTATCTTTACTTTTGATTGCCCCATCTCATCCTCAATCCGTACCCTGCAAATAAACCCAGTCATTTTTTCTTCAACCGTAACAATATATTTGTTGCCCTTTTGGCAAATGATGGTGCCGCGAAATTTCTCAACGTGGATATGCTCACCTGGCAAAACGATGGACGAATTAAATTACTAATATTTTTGTTATTTGGTCAATAATGTAATCAGATTGTCGCACAAGTACTCTCTGCCAATTAAAGTGATTGAGCTTAAGGCCACAGGTATGTTGTACCTCACTGTCTCCCAGGTAATGTTTTTTAAATGTTAAAGAAAACACACTGGTGTTTATATTGTTACGTGAAAATAACACTAATTCAGTCGAAAACCAAAGTGCAGCTCATGCCCAAACGTCAACTTCAACTACCTTCTCTAGGACTTTTTAGATCTGTCCCAGTATACACTGAGAATGTTATTTAAAATCACTCAACAATATATTTTACGCCAGTCTAAATAAATGCACAATGTTTTACTATATGCTCACTCGGCAACCAAGGCCGGCCCGATGTGTTGCCAACTGGTCACCCAGACAAGTGTTTGGCAGGATCGGCGTTAACTCGGCCGCCAACGTAGGCCTGAACCATGCCGTCGATCAAGTGCCGACGTAACTGGCAGCGCACCTCGCGCCAACCTTTTTTTAATGTCTAGGGGCCAGTGAAGTCGGCTGCCGACTACGTACCAGCCATCTGCCAATGGTTGGCAGTCGGCCAAGGTTGCTTGGGTAACGGTGGATGGACACTCCCATCACCAGCAACGTCATCTACCCCATCGGCTATAGACCTTTTTACTGAAAGCTACCTGGGCGCCACCATAAGCCTCTCTGCACTGTTGTTAACATGCATGAGCCCCCAAAAATTCAGGGCCAAAGCTGTGACGTCAGCTTTTGTACTCCCGTGCAACAGCCCAGAAAGAAAGGGATCATCCTCTCCAGTAAAAACGTCTATAAGTGTGCCCCATCGGCAGCGCTTCATGGGATTGCTGGCTGCTCCGTTTCGTCACCAACTAACTCGCTGCTGTTCGCTATGCAGGTTAGTGTTCCGTAATCACTCTTCACAAAGAAGAGCAGTAATTACTTCTTGCTGCAGCTTCCAAGCCCACATTGCTGCTGTACGACTGTTGTTGAATGTGTCAGTGCCGTGAAATTGTTATTGCTACTTGAATCAGGAGACATAGAGCCTAATCCGGACCCTAATGCTATACTCCTTGAACTGCAAAAGCTTTCGGCAGGCCTTTCAGCAATCTTGAAGAAAGTGCAGGGACTGAAAAGTCAGTTACTAACTTCAAAACACGCTCTGTCCGACCTAACAATGCAAATCACTGATATGAAAGAACATTACCAAGCTCTGCCACCACTGAAAACAGAACTTGAACAAATAAAAGCAACACTGTTCATGCAGCGCGCAATACAAATGAACTTGAGGCACATTTGGATGATGCAGAGAACAGGTCATGGCATAACAATTTAATTTTTATGGCTTACCAGATGCTAATCCCCCGGAATCGTACGCTAAATCCAAGTTACTAATCATACTTCATTGTTATCACTACTTAGGCAAAGATGTTAACCCTAAAGAAATTGATCAAGTGCGTCGCTAGGGCTGTCACTCAGTCGACAGATGTAGACCAATAATTGTGAAGTTCGCTTTCCACAAGACAAAACACGAAATTGTTTCAAACGAACATAAGCTCTTAGGAACCACATACAGCATTGAAGAGGATTTCTCGTGTCATGTTCAAAATGTCAGAAGGCAGTTGGTCAAGTTTGCAGAGCAGATGTCCTGTCCATTCTCTCTGTGCTATAAAACGCTACACATAGGCTTGAAATGCTACTCGTTCAATGAAACCCCAAAACAGTGCAAG